TTTAAAGTGAACCCACCTCGGCGAAAAGGCGAACGGAATAACGAACGGCAGCTACGGCAACTTTAAATAGCTTTCCAAACTTTTCAACCCTCCCAGCACGGGATGAAAGAAGAATTACTGTGTTTTAAATGGCGAACAAAGGGGTCCGTCGGCCTCGTGCAGCTTCGTTTCGCATTTTTCGAGCGCTTCCCGGCTACCTATTCCACATTCCTCCCCGCGCAATAGAATACAATGCTTCCGGTTGTACCTTTCAACCTGCTTCAGGAGCAAGGATCGTAAACGCCCTGGCTAACTAGAATGAAAATTTGGGTGAATATAACTCTTAAAAAGAAACCGCGGAATATAACTCTGGATGGGGTGATTATGCTTGAGTACTTTAAGGAGAATTGAAACGGTGGACTGCTGCTCGACTATCGGAATGTATAGAACTATTCGAGAAACCATAGATCGTGGAGAAATTCCAGACGACAAGTTGTTGTACGGCGCTTTATGAGTCCGTACAGAATCTGTGTATATAATTACTGGATTGTGGATTTTTATGCATTTGTTAGCACCTCTTAACTTGGAAATTGCAACAAAATTAAGGAATTTAGTAAACAGTAGTACTATCTGTGTCTTATTATCATCACGTTGACTGCCAGACCAACATGTACATATGAAAGTGCTAACGAAGTCGAGGCAAGTTTTTTTAATAGAATTTGGAACTTCGAAAATTATATTTGTTAGTAGCTAACTAAAATTTAATTTATTCAGCATTTTACCAGAATGTTTTGCTTATAGTTCTGCACTTAAATGATGTCACCCATATGTGAGTAACATAGCGGTCAAAGTGTTAACGCAATAAAGCCCTCTACTACAAAATTCAAAATTCCCCTCCGTTTTAATTTTCAGGCATTACAGTATATTTCAATATACAGAGAGAAGAGTGAGCATTATTAAAAGAGAAACAAAAAACCAACCTTTATGAAAGCTACGTTGACGGCCACAGAAAAAAAACTTTGTCCCGTTTTAGGTCGAAACGATCCACCGTCACATTCATCACGACCGACAATTTTCAAAGCGCGTTCTTTGATTCTGCCGTTATGACACTCGAACGGTCCATCGGCCGTTAGAATCGTCGACGATCCTGAATCGTGTCAACGGGTAATATCGGTCGATTCGTGGCAACGATACCCTAGCTGTTTATCATTCACGCTGTCAAATCCAGTGTCCCTAGTGGACTACTTATTCGTCATTGTGAACAACGATTTGACTCGATTGATTGCGTTTCGGGTGATGCCAACGCTCCCCCCACCGCGCGTACGGAGAATTGATAGCACACAAAAATTTTTAAAATTCACGTAGAAGTACACTCAATTCTAGACGTAACTATAGTTCAGTTTCTAATGATGCAAAGGATTGATCTTTCAGAATGAATGCCGTTTATTGGAAGTTTCCAATATAAGTATGTTAGATTGGAAATCAGAAGATGAAATAAGTTCGACGTTCAATATTTCAAACGCGATAGAAGACATACGATCGCGGAGAATCTTTCTCTTGGAACTTATAACCACAGGAAGACACACAATTCCCCGAGAAATCTCTCTGGTCGTCGTCGTCGCCGCTTGGAAAATAAAGTCCATCTGTATCGACAAATTGTCGCGAGATACATTCTGAACCACCGCCGACAGTATCCAACAACATCTCGTCCTTTTTCCAATGGCCCCGCTTCATCGTCCGTGGAGATCCTTCAGAGGCCCACACACGTTTTTCGCGGGAAAGGATTCGCACACGGCTCTCGACCAACCGTCCACGAATAATACAATTCGCGATCGCGTTTCCGCCGCGAGCACAGATGTATTCTCACGTGGATATCCTACGAATATCGATAAACGATTCCCCGTTCCTCGTCGCGCGGAATCTATATTCAAAAGCCGCTAAAACAAAAATAAATTCAATTCGTAACGCGAAACCGCGAATCGATCGAAGGGACGGGGAACTTTTATCCGAAATGAAACTTTCTCCGGACAGTTCTCGGAGACAGTGATGGGAATAAACGTGCCTTGAATACGGGAATTCGTGGAAAGTGAATATGTACGAGGGAACAGGGGAAATTTACATGTCGAATATTTAATCGTGTTCGATTTGATATTTCCACGTTCAAGATTTCGGTGATCTAAGAGGATTCAAGCTTTCAGTTGTCTACGAAGGGAGATTTTCGAGTTTTCCGTAACTTTACTCGATTTTTTATGGGACCAATCGAAGAACATTACTGTATTTACTGAATATTACTGTATACGAAAAATGATTTTAGAGCTAACAGAGAGCAAAATACAGAATTCCAAGTTTTGTACAAGACACTGATTTTAATATTCACGAGTGTACATTTAAATATTTATTCATTGTTACCGTTCACGTGCCACTGCACCTTAATTCAACGTTATCCCGCGCAAACCCAAGATCGTAGGGGAGAGAATTAGATTTCCTTTTTTTTCTCTTCCTGCGAATATATTAATGATAGAACGCAGACGACAACCGAAAGAAGAAAACCCGAACGCTAAACGAAATAAATGGAAACGGAGTACTTTAACTGGAGATCAGATAATTACACTCAACACTCTAATGGAGGATACATTAAAGATCGAGTAATAAACAGCGTCGTTTCCGTTCCTTGTTTCGCTACATTCTCCACCAACGGTCGCCTTCCGGTATTAAGAAAGATGCGTCGCCGTTTCCGTTTCTGTTTCATTGAACGTCAAGCGATCGCGTTAAATTACGGAACAGCCTGGAACTGCTACCGTCACGATTGCCAACCGATTTAACATATTATCCACCTACTATTATTTAATAACCTTAGTAGATCCAACGATCAACAGCCATGGAACTATTATTAACCTGTCAACGCGCAGACCCTTAAATCGTTATTTCAAAATTATGAGACAATAAATATTCAAACATTCAATTCAAAAAAAAAAAAAGTAACACATGTTATGGTATGATACTTATCGAATTCGTCATGAAATCCTCTGACAGATAGGCGTACAAAAATTATAGGTGTATTTGCAAAAAATTAAAGGTGGCCTTGAAAAATCATGAAAAAAAAAGAGTTGACAAAAAATTTACTACAATCACGTTAAAGCTCTCTTGAAACCATGCTATACCTGATAAAAACATTTTCGATCCGACTGCTAATAACAGAGTAATATCTACTGATCCGTGGTTCACATAGTTCTACATAGTGAAGACGCAACTTAATAGAATAATGTAACAATTCCTTCTTCAACCCTGATGTAAGAGGAAATCGATAAGCTTCTATAAGCATTGAAAATGAAAAGTCTATTACAAGCTATCAATTAGTAAACTGTTAATTACTGCATCGACGCTTGCGAACATAACCACGTACATCTTCGTACATAGAACCGCCACGACCGTGTTTCATACTTCCATACACGTGTCCGTCCTTCCGTGACTCGCATTTCAGAAACAGAATGAGGGGGTGCTAGGCCGCGCTTTTATTGTTGTCGGGGTCGGGCCGATCTTCCTTAACCTTTCTCCGCGGGTTTTGCTCGGAAACAGGAACACCAGTACGGTCCGATAGTCGTTTTGTTATTCCGCGAAGAATGGCGCCGCGACACCCCCGTCACATCCGGAAGACAAAGCGTCGCGGAACGAGGCGTTATTTTTTTCCCCCGCTCCCTCTCTTCGCCGCCACTCACCTCCTTCATGTGTGTTTGCCCTGTGAGCCGAGGACTCGGGACGTTCCACGATATACACACTATCGGACGACACTGTGTAGAGGTGCTTGAGAAATCTCACCTTATCGAAGGCATTTTGTCTCGTGGCGTACATATATGTAACCACGGTTGTGTATACACCGACGCCTGTACACCGTAGAGACGTATGCCTCTCTGGCGTAATGGTTCGCCTCTTGGAAACAGATCGAACGGGACGGATCTCGAGGACGGGATAAAAATTTTACCACGATAAATTCTCTCCCTCCGTACACCCACGGACGATATTGTTTCTTTTTTACTATCTATCTATCTCTCTAAATCCCGATGAAAATGCTTGTACGGATGTTCACAAGAAATTATCCACAAAAGAGAGCACCCGCGTGGGCTGGCCACTCGTATCTCTGCGGGCGCTGTTTCACGATACGTATCGTAATTTACTATTTGCGAAATACCGGGAAACAAACGTTCGAATCGTCGTTATTATCGTTACGGGAATCTTTGGTTTGACGCACGCGAGAGGGGAGGGGGGGGCTGGGGGCACAGGGAAGGAGAGGAGGAGTGAGTCAAACGTAAGAACGATAGCGATATTCTGTTTGCTCGATTTTACCGACCGGGGGTCGAAGTTCACCGACACCGTGTGCACCCGTGAATTCTTTCCACAAAGAACGAACAACTTTACAAGACGGACTTTGCGTGGCCTTGGTGAAACTGGTGGATGATTTTTCAATGGCCGACGATTGAAAACCGCGATCGCGTAATCGTTCCGCCGTGAAACGTCAAATAACCGCCACGGAGAAGAATCTCCCTCCCACCAACCGTCACGGCTAACGTTTGCTCGAGGATAGACTTCTAATCTTTGACACGATAACGTCGACTTTTCTGCGGCGATTTCATCGAGTGCGAAGCCAGTAGTGTGTCGTTGACCACCGTGGCCGACCGCTCTGCCTCGGTACCGAGGACCACCGTACACACGATCCAGTCCTCTCCTCGACTTCCGTTTCTTCTTTCTCGTCTCTTTCTCTCCCCATCCACTTCCCTGTCCTCGAAATCCAAAGAACCAAATAGATTCGACCCACCCCCTCCCATTTTGGTGCGATTCGTGAAGCAATTCCTTCCGCGGTACCGTTTCATCGACTCGTCAGATTTTTCCTCGAAGAAACCTCCTCTTTCAAATCGTTAATTAATCGAACCCATTTTCTACCGTCCTTTCACGTTCAATTCCCCACCAGCCGCGAAACGTAATCCTCTCCGCAAGCACGAAAAAGGAACGACGGCACCAGTGATCGTATCCGACGTTCGTTCAATTAGGAAAATCGTAATTTGTGGTGCGCTTGTGAGAACGAGGAAAAGCCAACTGTAAATGTTCAAGAGGATGACGGTGACCATGTACTCGACGCTGTTACTGTTGAGATCCACCAAGCTTGGACGTTTTCCAACGAGATTGGCTTCGTCCACCTCGGGGCTAAGGATCCCCCAGCAACCGGTACAGTGCAATCTCTCTCTCTCTCTCTCTCTCTCTCTTTCTGATTTTTCGTCTTTCGATTCCGCGTGAAATCGAGGGTACATAAATTGATCGCGAACGCCTGCAGACAGAACGACGATTGGACCGTTTCGTTTTCAATTTTTAGCGCGTCTTTAATCGACCGTCGCCACTCGAGGAACGGTTTTTACGGGCGTAATTACGGAAATGTTCGTGATAAAAAACGTACAGGGAACGAACGAGCTCGAAGATCGATTCTTATTTCTTTCGTTCCCGTGATTAACTAATTGAACGTTCGTCCTGTACGGAGAAAAAGAACAGACGAACGGGACCAGAAAAACTTCGTCGTTGTCGTTCAAAGTCTCCCATCTTTCACGCGTTTCTCCGTTTTCTTGAGAATTTTTCTTCGCGGAAATGTCTCTCGTTCGACTCATTGACGTGAGTGAAGATTCACGCGATCCATTAACCCTTTAACGCCCAGACCTTTAAATCGTCATTTTGAAATTACGAGAGTGTATGTTGCACAATGGAATATTATTTCTGAATCTGAACAAATTTGTTGGAGTCTCTTCCTTAAGTCAATTAAATCCTGAAATCGTCCACCGTATAGAGGTTTTTTTTCAATTTTGGTAACAGTTAATTGTTGCTGGGTGTCCCGGAGCAATTCGTTTAAATCTAACTTTCAGAAAATAATGGCACCTTGAAAACTTACATGTTCCGTAGTTGCAAAATTAACACTTAACACATTTGTGTTCGCCAAACGGCAAAATCATTCTGATCGAAATAATTAGTCATTACCCCTGCATACATTCAACCGGATCGCAATTCCTAGAACTTTGGAAGCATCCCTCGTACACATAGCCAGATATAAAGACATATATGTCGTAGTTCGTTATTCTCAAGTCAAAAATATCGACATTAAACCGACCTAATTAAAAAAAATTTTTATTTACGTTTCGAAGGAATAGAATGAATTTCCCAATCGAAAACGTTCAGGTCTGCTTTACCACCAATGAAATTAAGAATCCTTACAAAAGTTCGATACATCGACGAACATTTTAAACGAAGGTCATGCACCACCGGAAGATAAAGTATTGAAACAATGAAAAACGAAAAGTCATCGAGATGATATACGGACACTTTCTCCAGCAGCGTGATAATTTCAATAATTTTCTAATTGCCCGGGGAAACGTGTCCGTGAAGCACGGCACTAAAATGCAAAACGCTTCCCCATTCGTTCCCGAAGATCGTCGGTTTAATTGGCTGCGCCGCAATAAATGTAACGCGACGTTATCACGGGGTGTACATAACATAACTGATATCACACAAGCTACGGCTTTGTGCATGTACGGGAACGAAATAAATATCGTCCACTTGCACGCAATTATTTTTGTCCGTGTGCGTGTGTGTGTGTGTGTGT